ACGCTGCCTACCTCGGCCGCGAACAGCAGAGGCAGATGAATTCGACGGTGACCTGAGAAAGGTGCAGTCCTCGGCCGTGAATCGCAGACGCAGGCCGGCTCCACCCAAATTCGGACCCACAACCCTCTACAGAGATCCAAACTATCAAAGCGACGAACCCTGATACCCAGCGGTAAATTTCTCGTAAAAAAACCTGGGCCACCTCCAACAGAACCCGGAATCACCTCGGCAGCAATCCCTGGTAAAAGCCACTGGCTCCGGCGAGAACCCATCATCAAGTTTCAACAGACACTGGTGACCCCAACGCGTGAGGTCATCAACCTGAAAGGGGGCGTGGGAGTTCAAGACATTTTTAAGTGTACATGTGTAAATACTTAGGCACTAGGCATCTTTTCTATTTACGTATGTCGCTGTGTTATATAAATTGATTTATACCGTCCGACCGTCCACTCTCCTATCTTACTCAGACGGTTGACCTGAACTACGACACGTATATTCCCACACCCCACTAAAGCTGTGTCTTTCAGATAAGATTATTTCGAGCAACCGCAGAAACCAAGTCATCTTGTTGGTCCCGCGAACAGTGTAGGATACTCGTATATACAAATGTCGTCACTGCCCGCGGCGTAACACCAGATAAAGTTCTCTCCGTGCCTTGGTTGAAATCGACGCCCCAAGAAGTCTCCTCGATATGAGGCTAACGGCAGCCCGTCGTGGGTCCGGTTTCCCATGCTTCTCCATGGGTGTAACGAATCTTTTTTAATGTTTTCTCAGTGCGCCACGCCATGTAAAACATGGTACTAGTGCAATACGTGTTGCTTTTATGCAGCTTCCTCATTGACATAATTTGAGTGCCTCAACAGCGGCAAGAGCAGTTTCATTAACGCTTTGAAGCGGTTATATCTCTAACGCGGTTTTTACAGCGGCTTGCGTAGAGGTCAAAGCATGCGCGCCCAGCGAAAAGCGGATGTGCAGAGCTGTCATTGCAGCGAGACACATGTTTGCTTCCTCAGTGTGGCCGGTCGCGACGCGGTTGGAATAAGCTGGAATAAGCTCGCGCGCCGATAAGGCTACATCTGGTCGATTCCGTTACAGCGTTCGCTGTGTTGCTTGTCCTCACCAGTGCTGTACACGTACATCCAAAAAAGAAACGAAAGATTATTTCGTTCCTTCTGATTTTCGCAACGCGTTCCCGTTACAAGTTTCATAAGTGAAAAAGGAACTTCTTCCCGTTACAGTTACAAAAATGGAAGGTATCGTTACATATACGTCACATTTTCATTTTGCTGATTACCATATTTCGCTGAATCCACGAAAGTTGTCTTTTTTTATCTATCTCATCGTTAGCCCTATTCATGTTTGTGGTGGGCGATTGAGACGAGCCATTTGTTATGTAACCCCACATTGCACGGGCGTTTTGCAGCAGGCTCACACGTTTCAATCGGTCGAAGTCTCTTGCTGAACTTAACAACAGTTGCTTCTCATTGTTGTCGTCCGCAAACGAGAGTGAAGAAGTGGTGGGGCTTTTGGGAAGTCAGTTTTGAACAATATTAGTTCTTCCTCGTGAAGTTTGGATTCCTTGTTCAGTTTCAAGGAGGCGGACAAGGGGAGAAGAAATAAAGTTTACTTTTTGTGCATTTCTTAATTGACCAACATTCGGGATACAAGGGTATGTTCGATATGTGGTAAGCTTTTCTTTTGTTGTAATTGTGGGTCTCTTCGTGGAAGTTTAGTGATGGTTGTAGTTGGCCTTAGATTGCCGAATGAGAGGGGTTTTGTGGAAGGAAAGAAACTATCTGAGTTTTGCTTTTTGTATCGCAGTCTCGGACACTGAGAAAAAAACCGATGTCCAATTGTTCACCTGGACTTTACTGTTACCAAGTGAGGACCACGCAAAATAAGCCCCGAGATAACTAACCAAAACGTTAATGAGATCCTGCACTACCTGAGAGATAATGTTTTTATACTTTTAGAATTTCCCTCGGAAATAAAATAAAAATTATTCCACGGGACGAAAGAAACGAACGGCGTTCCTTTTTTCGTTCCAGTAAAAAGTTCAGGAGTTCCCGTTCCAGTTCCACCGTTGCAAAACAAAAAAAAAAAAACGGCGCCGTACCTTCGTTCTTCCTAAAAAGAACGCTTTCCTGGAATGCCGTTCGGTACAACACTGGTCCTCACCTGAATACGAGGTGTTTTACCGAAAGGTTGTGAAAATGCTTAAAAATTGCATGGCGCACAAAAGAAAAAGTATTGTTTTCCGGAAAATATTTTAAGCCACCTTAAAAATATATTGAAAAAAATACCAATTAGCTTAATGTTGCACTAAAAATTCCTAATCAAAGTTTCAATTTCTGATAGCAAACTAATGGTTTCAATGACAAACATCATAAAAAAAACACAAAATCAACTAAGTTTAGAAAAATAAAAGGCAAGTGCAGCATTGTAAAGCGTTCCAAAAAAAAAAAAAAAACTCAATATGGACGCGTTTCTATATTTCGTTTCATTATCGCCGCGCATTTTAGTGCCTGCAGTCCTTCGCCCGGGTGGCGGAGTCGCGAAGCCACCGCCTCCCCTCCCCGCAGAATGGAGGGAAGTATAAGGAAAAGGTGTTCAGCGTCTCGGCCAGCGGACAGAGAAAAGAAAACAAAACGCGCGTCAAAATTGTCAGCGATGTCGTCTGTCATTCCTTTGTCCTTGTCGCGCTGTTTTAAACTAAGATGATCATCAATCAACGAGCCCTAACATACATTTCAGCAAGTCAAATGTGGACGTTTTTGTTTATTTTTTTTTTTAACACCGGAAGATGTTGTTATCTTTTTTTTAATATCCTAATGAGTCGATTCTAAGGTTTTCCATGATGATTAGCAAGGTCTAATTGAGATAGTATGTTTATCTTCTTATTTAAAACGTTGACCAGTAAATATCAGCTAGTTATTTACCAAGATCGTTTTTTTTTTTTTTTGTTCTTGAAATTTGTAATATCCACATTGGCTGGCAGTTTGTCTCAAGAAATAATTTATTTTTCTCTTCACCTTAACAGGTGGAGAAAAGTAAAAGACCATCAAGTTGTACCAAATAGTTTAATATATTCTAATCTGCTCATTCACATTAAACAGCGCGCCAACGGCGCAAACTCCTTCCCAAGCGGCGGGGAGAGCCGGTGTCGAGGAAACGCCCACGCATCAAGTTGGTCATACTGTCGCTTTGCGCCGTGGGGGACGCCTGCCGCCGACGCACCGCTACACCGAATCCACCAAGACATCAGAAACAGATGCCTCCGCTGTCTTGACGGGTTTTCACTACTATAGATGGCGGCATCTTCATCTTGCGATTTAAAAAGAAAAACACCGATGGCGTGCGCGTTCAGCCGTTCCAACTACACGAAAGCTATCGGGGCCAAAGCAATTGAATTTTTGTGCATTTAAATGTCTCGCTTATAAAGCGTTTCAGATTAAGTTTAGACGCAGCCTAGGCTAGGAGCGAATTGGACCAATCAAGCAGTATGAAAAGCGCACGTCAGTGGGCCTTCTTTGTTTCTGATTGGTGTTAGCGATGTTAGAACACGCACATATAAAAAGCGAACACCACAATGGTGCGCTTTGGAAGTTGTCTGACTGGTTCATTCAGCTCGTAAAGTCAGCTTGTAAAGTCGCAAAGTATTTGGCAATGCGATTACATTATTAAGCGGAGGCTACAGTCTCAGAAGAAGAATTATAACGGGGAATCCGTGGGGTCGATCACCGGCGAGACGGAGCCGGCGGCACCGGCAGCCAGAAACTCGCCGGCGGCACACCACGTGACCTTTGGTACCCAAACATGAAACGCCGGACGGTGGCAGTTTGCTTTGACGCCTTCCCGCAAGACACCGCAGAGTCTTTCGCCACCGTCCCGTCACTCACGTTTTCGGATCATCCATTTTCCCCGTGGTATTTTCCCAACGGCTTGGATCGACTCGAGTATTGGCTGCTTAAGTGACCTCAGATCAGTGTAGTTCTGTCGCTCATCTCTTCTCACTGACCTCAACTTCCATTTAAAGGGTGGCAACACAGTTTGGCGCCCGCTCGCCCGGCCGTTTGAAGCTCGGGCGTAAAAACCTCCGGAAGGTTGCAGCTGCTTGCCAGACAACTTCCACCGTCAAGGTGTGCGCCTGCCGGAAACTTACCACGCAAACACTACTGCCGTTTTTTTCGGCAAAAGTAAGTTGCCGACGGTTTACCATCCGAATTTGACGTTAAAGGACTATATTTCAGCAGTGTCATTGGTTTAATCTTTTTGGCGGTTTTCGTATCAGTTTCGAGATTCAATAGTTGAACCCAATATATACTTTTACAATCACATATTTCCTTTCATCTGAAATTCAAGTGCAGTGGAAAGTGAGAAGACACAAACGCAAGCACAAACCTCCTAACCAAAAATGCAGGGTCACGGCGCCTGCCATGCGCTTGGTTGGCTCAGCCGGTGACAGCATGCGTATCGCAATACGACGAGCCTCGTGATGATGCACTTTTGCCTCTCATTGATTGATTGACTCCATCGAATCGGAGAGGTGATTGAGGTCGGACTTGTGCGAAAGGGAGTATGTACCTGGAAACATTCGTTTCCAAATATTTCGATACTCTCGGTGAATATGCGTAGTTATTCCATGGGCTGGATGCTCAAACTAATTATTAAATAGTTTCTTTCTGGAACAATAATCTACGAATAGGCATAATCATAACGGCAAAGAATTGAATGCGGAGAGCAAGTCGGTCCGCTTCTTGTGCAGATGTAGCGGTGACGTCATAACGACGCCAATAGCTGGTTGGCTTGGAATGAAAAGGTAGTAAGTGGACCTCGATGCTAGATTCCTTCAGGTCTACCAACTATTTTTTTTTTAATTCAGCCAATAAGTGCTCCGCGTTCCGACATTATCGCAACGCCTGCGTAAGAGGCAGATGAACTTTCGCTTCCCATAAGAATCTTTAAAGAAATACTCGACTTTGCGCTGAATTCAAACTCACGCGTAATGATAGCAGTGATTCGTGACTCCAGCCATCGCAGTGCCGTCGAAGGCTGTGTGATCGTAGAGAAGTGCAGACCCTCCGTCTTCCCCGACAATCACCTGGATCGAGAAACGAATAAAAAAACTCTGAGCGTTGTTTCACGGACCATGGTGCCGCTATGCGCCGTGAGTTGCATTAAAAATTAAGAATGTGAATGTAAAACTAGAAGTAATGAGAAGATATATTCCCGCGTTCACCTCAAGCATAAAGTCTCAGCAGGACAGAAGAAGGTTGCAGTTACAAGGCATTGCCCTGGCCGTGTTTTCATTTTTTTCTAAGATGTTTGGTATTTTAGTCGCCGACAGTGTGTGAACGACAATCCGAGTTTTAACGCCTGGCCTCCAGGACGCCTTCATTGACTTCCGCCGTGCTCTGATGTCGCGCGATCACGGTGAGCACGAGATGCCGGAGCGAAGCGTTGCCGAAGGTAGCAGGCCCCCTCTGGACGCTAGACCAACTGAAGATCCTTCCTGCCGTTTTTATCTTGTCAGGGACTACAGTAAGTGCCAAGTTTTCGTATCTAATCTGCAGCAAATTTAGGACGATATCTACGCAGGTCGACTAGGAGATGTATATTTTTACTATGATAGAGCGATTTATGTATGCACTCTAACATTACATCTCTAGATTTGTTCCCCAATATACATACCGCTCTGTTGTTAACTGATAGTTCGGGATGCGTTCCAAAACACTGTTTTCTCTATTGCTTATCGAGACATGTAAAAATGCTTGGTTCTTTGCTTGGCATTTGTCCACAACTGCCCTTATATTTTGGCAAAGGGCTCAACAATAAAAAAAAAAAATATTCAGTGGCCAAGCCGCAGAAAACGCGCTAAAGGCAAACAGTCTCGTTGATTAACGGGTGTCAAACCAAAAACGACTCATGTCGGTACTATAGAGGAGACAGCTGGTTTTAACATTGGAAAGTGCTTCGGCGTCAGCTGCTTTCCTCTTGCAGACTGCGACACGGTGGCGTGGTCGCCAGCTGGAGGGCCGAGGCCACCGCCCCGTCCATGCACGGCGCACTCCCACCTTCGCGCATGCGTGGTGCTCAAAACACTAAACGGGCATCGGTCGCGTGCTATCACCCATTATGTGCACGATGGTGCTTCGCGCCCATGAATGTTCCCATGCATTCCAGCGCAGTATTTGCCTATGCTAGAAGGTATGTGTCTACAGTATTCAGCCCGTCTTGGTGTTTACCTGAACTGGCTTGTCCCACCATCGATTGGCTGCATATTCGGCGTTCGGACCGCCCTTGTATACCTGCCGGGGCCAGGCCACCTCGTAGGGATCCACGTCTTCCACTCTGCCGTCAAGGCACACCACGAGTGAAGCCCTCTTGATCGCTTCCAGAGACGCCGCGTTCTGAGAATCTGCGTCCCAATGAACGGAAACCATTCTTTATTGTAGTACTGGGTTCCGCTTTGTGATTTTCCATTTATTTTTTCGAATAAAGACATTGCGTTATTTTTCGGTCTCAAGTTTTCAATTCGCGAGGTGTGCAGCACGCTCATACTGGCGCTGTGTTTCCGTTAACAGGTTTCTTTTCTTTATAGTTTGTGGGAACCACGGGTTCCCCGCATCCCTATCTAGGCCTAGCTCAGGCAGGCCGTGGGACGTCGCCACGTGGGGGCGCGTCCCGGATGCGACGGCGAAGCCGTATTCCCTCGTGGGCGGCTTTCCCTCGTCCTTCTCGGGTGATTTGCCTAAGGCACACCCCTCGGGATCATGACTTTAACGCGTCCGCCCCTCCGGGGAGCCACCTACATCCGACCCACCCCGGGCGCGTCCATTCCCGCAGGCTATATAACACGGCCCTAATCCAACGGGCGGGACTCTCGCTGGGGGAGGCTCTGCTCGACAGAGCCTTCATATCTCTATCTGATCCTCCCCCTCCGTGACACTGTCAATAGCGGCAGCGCGGACTCCGACTGGTGATCCTGTCAAAAGAGACAGCGCCGTCATCTCCACCATTGTTGGCCTTCGGGCAAGCGTGTTGGCATTGCAGTCAATAAACACGTCTTTATCCGGACCCAAGGAACCTTCTGTGTTTCTAAGTGGTACCCTCATAAAAGGGGAATCCCACAAGTTAGTCTTATCATACGTCGGCCTGAAGCGGACGCCATACAAACGAGCCCTTATACTTCGCTTCACATTAAAAGCGCTGCAAAAATACATTTTTAATGACCTAGAGAAATCATAAATACAACTAAATACATTTTTCGCAACAAATTTGTTGCTTACTTAAAAGCAAACAAAAAATAAATAAAACACAGAGGAAAATCACAGGACAACCACGTTCTTTCATTTAGCAACAACATTTTTTGAGGGGCAAAAACATTGCACCCTGAGCAAGAACCCAACTAAGATAGCTTAATAAGGGGGAAGGAAAATTGGGAGATGGAAAGGGGGAGGGAGAAACCGCGAGGCACTGGAAGAACTACGATGATGGTTCGGTTTCGGCGTGGAGCCTCACAGTTTTGTCCTGTCCCTTTTCATTCCCTTTTCACTTTATCTTAGTTGGGATCTCGTTCAGGGCGCAATTTTCCGACATGAAATAAACGTTATGGCCATCCGAAAGAAAGTGGTTGTCTTGTGCTTGTGCTCCACGTTTTATTATTTTGATTTTAAGTATTCATCTTCAACTCGCTTGCTTAACCAGTCAAATTCCTTGTTTTCTTGTAAAATTATATAGAGCGTGAAGCATGATTTAGCTTCCAGCTTTCAAACGCACGCGCCAAAAACGCGCGCGTGTGTGTGTGTCTGTAGGCGTTGCAAATGGAGGTTGGGGGGAGCGGGGGAAGAGAGGACCGATTGTGTACGCGCATAGGGCGCATTTGTCGCTGGCTCGCTGGAAACTTACTCAACAAGTCCACGCCAAGGGCAGCGTTCTCACTGGCTACCTCTCCTCTCCTTACCTCGCCTTAGCGCGGATGAGTGCTCCTCTTTTCCACATTTCTTTCTCGCGCGCGATTTCGTAATACGGAGGAGGGGGAAGAAAAATATGAAAACGATGGAATTGGCTTGCCGCGCGCGTTTGAAAGCTGTAAACTAAAACAAGTCTTGCGTGATGTATATAAGTTTACAAATAAAATTATTTTTGGAAAGCATTTGGTGATGCGTCAGCTTGAGATTACAGAAATATACGTAGAAAGGACAGGACAATCAAGAAAATCTGCATAGCTAAGAACTTAAGTCTGTAACAAAAAAAAAATATTTTGTAATATTTGTAATTTTTCGAGGCTGATTTATTTATTTTTTCTTTTCCGCGTCCCTTTGAGTACCGACACCCGACGCCACAAGCTGATCGGATCTATCAGACACCGTCAGAAGTGCACCCTCGAGGTGTTCCTCATGTTTCCATATCGTGTTCTCGCATTGCTAAACCAGTCATAAACAAAAAGGACCCAGTTGCCTGCGCTTTCGACGTTGCTTCGATCGGTCCCATTAGCACGCAGTGCCGGCTGCGTCTGGACCACGGTGTAAGAAACTCATTTACGTGATGACTCTGGCCGCTTTTTCAAAAGGAACGAGCGAGCAGATTAGGTGTTCGGAGCTAGGCCTCAAACCAGGAGTATTTAGTTCCTCGCCGCCGGGAAGGGCGCTGCGGTAAGAGATCCAATTAGAGCTGTCGCTGTCGTTTGTGCTATTTCCTATCGTCCCTGTTTGTTGGCGCTTTTAAACCTTATACCTAATATGAGGTCCCTCCTCGGCGGCCACGGTGTCGGCGGCGTAATGTCCTCGTTTTTTTTTTTGTTTTTTTTTTCGCGGTGTGGTGGTGTGCGATCAGTGGCTGGCCTCGTGTTTTGCTTTGGTGCTATGTCAATCACATGGGCCATCTTCGTGCACGAAGGTGAGCCTTAACCCGAAGAAGAAGGAAGAGAACACCGATTTACGGACTCTGGCAACTTGGTGGCGGCGTGGCGGCGGTGAGGTACAACAACAAGCGGTGAGCAAGGAAATGACGGTTCGATCGCCGGGAAAAGCAACCGCAGCGGTCGGTTCGGGCGGGATCCCATACTTGGACGCCATCTATCCCCGTGCGAGTGAAGCGTTCGATGCGCCGAACATATTGTGATCCCCGCGTCGAACAGAGAGTCATCACTCAATTGTTTTTTCCACCATGGTCTGAACTTCAGCTGAAACCGAGTATAAACTCTGTTTCATATTAAGTCAACGCCACGATCGAATGAGGAAAATCAAGCAGAGATAAGGGGGTAACGTCTTGGTGCTCGTTGTCTTTATGAGTTTGCTTGGGCAGGCTGAAGTTAAAGTCTCCAGATAACAGCTTCCTACAAGCAGCGATGCTTTTTGAAGCGATGACTGCGTGACGGTGGAGGTCTAGGAAGTCAATGGCGGGGCAGCAGAGGTTTGAACTGAATGCTTCCATTTTGTTCCAGCGGAATGTGCTGCGTCATTTGTATTGGTTGCCGTTACCTGTAAAAGAAGCACCAAGGTACTTTAGCTGGAACTAGCGACATACAGTGAAGACGGCATACTCCTACGGCCTTTATTTTTTTTCTTGTGCATGATTGATTTAGTCGGTAGTACCACACGCAAAAAGACGGCAAGCAAGTGATGAATCAATTTTGACGCTGTTTCATTTAATCCATCGGATCGTAGAATTGGCCGTGGTCCGACTTAATGTGATATGAAACATAGTTTTACATGCTCGTGATCGATCATGTTGTTTTGAACCAGGAGTTTGCGCTAAGTAAAACGTAGTGTTCTTTCACTCTGTGAAGAAGGACAACCAGCGAACCTGTATTTGGATGACTATAATGACGACTATATTAATTTATAGGGTGTTTGCTTTATCGATTGAATAAAGACACACACGTGACTTTGTGGTTGTTATCGCCTTAAGTTTCTCTCATTCGTTACCACATTGTCAATAGCTTTGTGGTCGCTGTGGTACACCGCTATCGGTTGCAGTGCTGTGCTACACACGTTCTTGCCAAATGTAAAATTTATACACGAGCGGCGAAGCGTGGCCGGCACGTTGACGTCCATATAGCACTCAATTCTAAGACATTCCAACGGGAAGGACACTATCCACTCTCGGATTCTCGTCGCTTTCGAGCCCATTCGCACTTTTGCTCTGGTTATTACTTTTTCTAAGGCACATTCTTCTTTACTCTAGAGCAGTGGCTCTCAAATGGGGTCTGCGGACCCTTTGGGGTCCGCGAAGCTCTGTCTCACCAGTCAGGTCCGATAATAAAAGTTGTCTTTTTTTATATCGAGAACTTTTTTCCATCTTCGGGCTGGTTTTTTGTGTGTATGTCAATAAGAGAAGTCTACTTCACCCTAGCCTTTAGTTAAATTCGTTTGTTATATGACTATTATAGTTAACCTTCACATTCCTCCTCCCCTGACTACGAACAGGGTCCTCCATCATCTGTGCCGATCCACAAGGGGTCCTTAAAACATCGATGGTTTAGAACCTCTGCTCTTGAGCGAGCTACAACCGTCCTGCCCACGACAAATCCGAAGTGCAACTGCTGATAACGTCGCTAGGGCGACGACTACGTCAGAAGAGAACGCTGCACCTGGAATGGTGGGTGGACTATTACGTTTTATTATTCTTTCCAGCGCCTTCAATCGGGATCGAAGGAGCGCTGCCGGCGCACAAGTGGTGTGAGGAGCGGCGGCCGGGCCGCGAATTCTTGATCTACACGCTCTGTCCGCTTCCGCACACATTTTATGAACATGGCCATAAACAGCTTCGCTGTAAAAAAATAAAAAAAAAAATAAAACAAACTTAAGAGTAAAGGAAAGAAAAAAAAGCACACGTAGCGAACGTCATGTTGTGCAAACGATATCAGTAAGGACTTTTGGCGCTCTCTCAAAAGCGCTCTCTTAAAAGCATGCTTCTAAGGCTCCACTGCCAGTGCATCGAGCAACTCACGAGCAAAAGGGTTCTTGTTTGTTCCAAGTGTTGCCGTATTTTCTAACGTTGAAGTGAATTCTTACGTTATGAAATCCGCTGACAAATCTTCCGTTACGTTGCCTTCAAATACGTTGCATGTTCACAGGTTTTGTCATTGATGACACAGGACAAGGGAATTGGATAAACGGCCCCCGTCGTGCATGGAGCACACTTTAGTCGGGGATTGTCACTGGGTCAACATTTTTGTTGTTAACCTTTCTGCACATGACGTCTGGTTTGTTTGGCGCAGATGTAACGACTTGAACGTTCAGTTTTTGACTTTTTTTTGCATGTATCGAGTGACCAAAATCTTTTCTCGATATTCTTTTTTTTTCAATTATTGTCTTCTTGTTCTTTATTTTCTTGCAGATAAATTTAGAAATGTCTCCCAGCAGATCCATTGTATATCCAGAATTCCGTAGACGTGTAATTTGTATATCAAAA